ATTTATAAAAATAATATTTTTACAATAATTTTTCTTCAATAAAACTTTCATTAAGAGTTTAACCTACATCAAACTGGCACTAATTCTCAACCGGAGCTGGTGGTCTGTCTGGCTAACTATCCCCCGACCCCCTTTTTTTTTTATAATGAAAACTTTCCTCTAAAGAAACAATTTTCTTTTATAAAAATCCAATAAAAAAGGTGCTAAAAAAAAGGGGAAAAAAAAGGGTCAAGAAAAGGCGGTGGATTGGATTCATTTTAGGTTTGACATGACACATTGGCAAAAGATGTATAAAATCAGACTGCATCAAAGCGCGTTTATGTCACGAACAACATCATCCCTTCGTTAATGTCTTTGTTAAGATCAGGAGGGTGTTCTGGGAAACTTAAAAGGTGTTTTGTTTAGAGAAAGATAATAAATAAAAGGGAGGGTTTATTTATTTATAAATTTTATATATTATATTTATATAAAATTTTAATTATATATATTTTGTTTTTAATAATTAAAATTTATTATATTTTTTTAAATAAAATTAATTATATTTAATAAATATAAATAAATTTTAATCATTAAAAATAAATAATAAATAATTAAAATTTTATATAAATATAATATATTATTAAATTAATAAATATATAATATTATAAATAAATTTTTAAATAAAATTAATTAATATAATTTTTAATATGTTTAATAAAAAATTAACTCGCATGTAATAACAAGATGAGATGGAACCTTAAATGAGCACCCGTGCCCTCAGAGATTCTATATTAGATTTAGTGTTGACTAATATGTAGTGTAGCCGTGTAGGTGTAAAAAAAGAAGGGGAAAAATTAATTTTATATTTAATGATGATGAGAAACTGATAATCATAATTAACTGATGTTGTCTTTCTTTCTTGGAGGATCATGGATTCAATAGTAGTTGGAGGAAGTTAACAGTTCTGGAGAAAAGATAATCTCTTCTTTTTTTTCTTTTTCTTTTTTTTTGAAAATAGGCAATGTTGAGCAAAAGAGAATCTAAGTGTGACTTGTTTGTCACTGAATGATAATTAAAATTGTTTGAATTTGTCTACAAACCACGATACCAAGAATGAATCTATGGGTTGAAGAAGAATTATAAAAATTAGATAAAATATCATATTCCTAATTTTTCTTTATTTTCTTCAGTAAATTTTAGTGGCTGATTGTATTATTCACACAATCAAAATATAAAAGTTTCGCTTAGTTAATCAATTTTAAATTTAAATTTTATTCTCAATAACCTCTTATCAACAAAGAATTTTAAAATAAATATTTATTATATAATTTAAATTATATTAAATTATATAATAAAAATAATTAAATAAAAAATAAATTTGTTATTATGGAGAATTTTTTCCAATCTAATCATATGATTTGCAATCCCAACATCACTAGATGGTAAGAAAGTATTTAAATAAGTCATTTAAAATTTAGTTTTTTTAATTTTGTGGTTTTGCTACTTTTAAGAGGTGCACTTTTAATTTTTTGAGTTAAGTTTTGATTTTCCCTCCACACTCACGCTCTTAATTTGTAATCTGTTAAAAAAAAAGTCATTTAAATATAATTAATAATTAATAATAATAATTATTTATAATTTTAAATATTTAATTTA